GGCAAGTCAAAAATATATACAACAACAATTAACACTCACACACGCTTCCTTCCGTCTGGCCGAAGGACCCCTGAGCAGCATTGATTGCTCCACCCCGGGAGGATTGACTGCCAGCTTGCCTTGTCCCTCTCTTTCCTCTCAGATCCGGAATCCAGAACTGTCATTCTCATCTCCGTCTTCGTCTCTTCCCCCTTCTTCTCATCTGTGTATGGGCTAGGCCTGGCACCTTCGTCCTTGTGTGTGGCGCCAGGCCATTCACACCGTGTGATGGTGATGAAGTATGTCCAGTCTGCATTTCGACATTGATTGGGTCTGATCATTGGTACTCCGGTCTTCCGCTGTGCTATATTGCTCTATCTGTGAGAGGACGGTTGCTGTAGCCTATAGCCGGGTAGGGAGAGGCCCTAGAGGCCGAACTGAAACGGTACCCATCAGTCCAGTCAGTCTGGTCTAGGTCATGTCTAGGCTAGGGTAGAATATGAATAGGTGTAGGAAAAACTGTTGTGGGACGTTTTTGGCAGTTGGTACCGTGCACATCGCAACGGCGCAGCACATGAACTGGAGTGGTGGCAGTTTCAGTGTTGGGGAAGACAGACATAGCCAGACCTGTGAAGCGTCGGCCATAGCTGGGACCTGCGCTGTTCTCTGACAGCACGCGGGGCTGTTCAGAGGTCCGGGCTATCTGAAGTCTGCTGGAGGCAAGAGAAGTTGGTGCCCTGCTGAACCCTCCTCAGGAGTAGGGTGTCAGGGTGTGTGGGGCTGCAGCCATAGCTGCAGCTTTCATCCTCAGAGATCATCTTTGTCAGGAGAGGTGGCACTGCTGCAGATTTCCATCTGGGAGGTCTTCCAACACTTCATCATCATCAGAGACTGTGGTGCTGGTCTTCTTCTTCATCCTCTGAGAGGCGCTTGGCCTCAGAGGCCTGTTTCAGGGTAGCGCTTCCCTCTGGAGGCAGTATCTGGCTGACGCTGGTTGTTTCAGGGGCTCAGGGGTAGTGATAGGGGTTACTCAGGGTTGGGGGAAGAAGCGCTGCTCATTTCTGAGCAGCGCAGCACAGTTCTGGGGTTATTCTGACAAATCGAGAATAAACAGTGTTGATACTGTTGATGAACTATCTTTGCTTCATTGCTTTGTGGATGTGATCTACTCGCCTTTCCTTTGTGACTGGTTGTGAGGATTGTGTGGGGTGAATTGCACTTTCAGTGTACTCTGTCATATCGCATGGCTAAGTCTTCCGTTGTGTTCTTATCTCCCTATGCGGTGTGATACTCCCATCCTCTCCCCTTCCTTCTATACATGTATGGGCATACCGGGAAGTCTATGTGAATGAGTGTTGGTCTTCAGACAACAAACAACCAGGTTCATAACACGTCCCCTTTGGTAGCACTACTTGAGGGAAGCAAGAGCCATGCTTTGTGGGAGCCATAATCTACGATGAGGTTTTACAGACGAACAGAGTTGAGACTGCACTCTAGCAGATGTCACTCAATCTATCATGCTTATCCAGAATGGGTGGGTGGGTGGGTGAATAGATGGGTCGGCATTTAGATCGACAGAACTGTGCTAATGATGATGATTTGCTTGGTCTGTGTGTTTGTGTGTGTGTGTGTGTGTGTGTGTGTGTGTGTGTGTGTGTGTGTGTGAGTGGGTGGGTGGGTTCCCCTTGTATTTGAATGTGTTGACAGGCAGTGAGATTATGTTCGTGAAGAATGGTGTTTGTCAGGGTGTAGCATTTGAGAATATGTATGCAGGTCAGTATTTTCCGGGTGCGTCGATGCACTCCCTTCCAACGCAGACGGAAGGGTGCACGGTATCTTTCAATTTTGGGCCAGAATTTTGGCTGCCTCCCAAAATACTGAAGGATGGCGTGGAGCTCGTGTATCAACCAATGTCAAAAGCCCCCTCATTCGTACACCCCGCTTCCCTGAATCCAGAGAACCCGCTAGAGAACAACGGAAGCAGGGAGGTTAATGACGTGGCAAATGGCAAGCAGTGGACCATTGAGAACACATGTGCAGCACCTGTCTCGGGGGCGGGATCTGTTATGGTGGCGGCCACGGCACAGGAGAGAACCTCGGCAGGATCGGAATGGTCAGGTGACACTTTTAGAAATGGAACCAGGACAAGAGGTGGACCCAAGAGACGAAGTTGGCAGAGAGGAGAGAGTGAGATGAAGTGTGGCGCTGGCCTTGGCGAAGGGTCAACAGGGTGGGAAGGTGAAGAGGATGAAACTGTAGAGAGGGCAGAGAGAGAGGTGGAGGATGGAGGGGCCGTAGCAGGACGAAGGAGAGATAGGATGATGGCTGGAGATCTACCCCCAAGGAAAGGGGGGGTGGTGGGGGGCCTGAGAAGGGTGGTGGCAGGTGGAGGCCAGCACAACAGGGTAAGAGAGGAAGTCTTCTTTGGGACAGAGCGGCCTAGTAGAGGAGCTGCGGGAGTCAGAGGAGCAGGCACCCGCGATGGGCCACAAGGATCGTGGGAAGTGACAATGGCAGTGGCCGGGAAATCAAAGCCTAGAAGCACCAACGTGATTGACAGAGCACTGGGTGTCGTCAGCAGGAAGGCTCTCGCGAAAACTGTGGGCAAGGGTAGGGGAGCGACTGGTGGCGGCGGTGGGTTGAAGACAAAGGGATTGGTAAGGAATTTGCAAGAGCATGGGCTGAAAGTGAAGGGACTGAAGCGCGTGGGGGTCAAATAGTGACAGCGTCGCTCACGACGGGCAAAGGGATGGTAACGGATGGGGCAACCGAGGCCCTGTGTGGTGGAGGTGGTGCTGTACACAGGTGGGGATGGGGGCAGAAGGCCGAGGCCTGGTGTGTTGACCATGCATGCTGTAACCGGTCCGTCCAGAATCGGGGTGCCGGGGTGGGAGTGAGACCGTAGGTAGGTGGTTGCGAGGTAAGGAAGATGAGTTGTGGGGTTCCTACCACATGGGGAATGTAAATGATATTCCACAACTTCCTGAGGAGGAGAACCAAATCATGTCATCCGTCTTCAGCAGGTCAGCGGTGCTGTCGTTTCAGACAGTTGAATGGCATTTGGTTCACCTCCTTGTCCCTGGAAGAAAATTTCCATATTGTTCATTTCAATTCTATTCAATAATTCCAATTTAATTCCCAGATCGTGAAAAACTAGACCCTGGTGCAGCTTACTTTTTTCTCCCCCGGCCTCACCCTTCGTCTTCGTTTTCCTCCTCGTCTCCTGCTCGTATTGTTGTTGCTCCCGCAGTGGCTGTTGCAGCTCCCCCTCCTCCTCCCCCTGGTCCTGCTCTTATTGTTGATGCCCCTGCTGTGGCTGTTGCATCTTCTCTTCCTCCTCCTCCTTCTCCTCCTCTCCTCCTCCTCCTCCTCTTTACCCAGGCCAGAGGAATGGAGAAAATTATTTGGTCCAACATTTCAGGTAGGTGGTTACCATGTTTGAGAGTGAATCTCGATCGGAAAAAAAAAAAAAAAAAAAAAARATCGGCCCGTTCTCGTTCTTTGTTTTTGTTTTTCAATCAATCAATCAACCAATTGATTGATTGATTGATTGGAATAAAGAAAAAAAAAGGTGGCGGGAGGAGCAAAAGGGGGAGTGGGAGAAGGAGCAAAAGGAGGAGCGGGAGAAGGAGCAGGTGGAGGTGCTGGAGAAGGACCGCGAGGAGGAGCGAGAGAATCAGTGGGAGGAGGAGGAGGAGGAGGAGGAGGAGCACGAGGAGCAGTGAGAAACGGGGAAGGGGAGTTAACGAACGCACACGAGGCGGGTAGGAAATGGGGGAGGAGGGAAGGAGGGAAGGGAGGAGAGGGGTGGGGCACTGGAGGGGTGGACGGGGATGCACTCTCTCTCTCTCTCTCTCTCTCTCTCTCTCTCACACACACACACACACACACACACACACACACACACACACACACATTTGATCTATCACTCAATCAATTTGATAGATTAATTGACTGATTGTCGGTGACTGATTGATGGATTTGTTTTTCATGTTCTGTTTGGAAAAATCAAGCGGTGGAGGGTTGATGGGTCGCTCGGGAGTGAGTTGATTGGTTGATCGGTTGATTGGTTGATTGATTGATTGATTGATTGATTGATTGGTTGGTTGGTTGCTTGATTGATTGATTGAAGGGGGGGGGGAAAGATCGGTCCGTTCTTTTTTTTTTTTAATTTAATTAATCAATCAATTAATCAACCAACTGATTGATTGGGGGGAAAAAAAAAGAGAAGGCGGCGGGAGAAGAAGCGGGAGAAGGAGCAGGAGAAGAAGCGGGAGAAGGAGCAGGATGACCTCTGCCTCTTGGATACCCGACGTTGGATACCCGACGTGAGTACTTTTCAATTTCGACTGTCTGGGCCTATTCAGACTTGGGGATTTTGACCCTGAAATTCGAATTTGGGATCTGCGAGGTGAAGATACCTTTCAATATATTGCACTTGGCTTCTGTCAGAGAAAGACGGATACCGTTTACATGGGCACGTCTTCTCTCCTGATGACAGCCGTGCTTTTTTCTCTTTTTTTTTCTTCCAAATGGACCACAAATCAGACATTAATGATTAAACTGATCAGAACCGCTACTACACTTGATCTTAGCCAGAACGCCGACGCTGGTGTTTTGCTGCATTGAGTGCCGCATGGTTCTCTTGTTTTCTCCAGACTGCAAACAGGGCCTAAATACTGTCTTCACCTGAATAGAACGCCCTGTCCTTATCACTGCATCTAGATGGACAGGTGGCCCAAATGCAGGTATAAAATGGCCAGGTATTGTATTTGGGTGAAGACGATACTATCTTCGAAAAGATTGTCGGATTGCTATTTCCAGTATGTCTTCGACTTCGGCGTCTGAGATCGGATTGAACTGCTGCCGCTGACGTGGTTTTTTCAGTCGAGGACTTGAGCGAAATCATGGTATTGAACTCTGAACCTTCGGTGTGAAAACTTTGTGTTTCGTACAAAAACCCTGTTCCCGATACTCAAAAGCTGTCTTATGACAATGACGCTATCCCATGAACACTGTAAACCATGAGAATCCGGTTCATCCATCAAGTCCCAAAAGCTCCTGCAAATCAGGTTTCTTCATCTCAAGTTAATGTTGCAATGGGATTCAAAAAAACTAAAAGAAATAGAAAAGAAAAAGTTGAAGGTGGGATCTGATATTGAGTTTCCTGACACCTGAACACTGACCTGATCATTGCAAGGAGTGGGCCATGAACAGGTCGCTTTCCTCTTTCTCTGGAACCTTGCGCTGGACCTCCAGGTTGAGGAGGAGGAGGAGGAGAAGGGGACTGAAGAGCAGGAGGAGGCGGAAGAGAGGGCAGAGCAGGAGGAGGGAGAGGAGGAGGAGGAGCTGCAAAAGACACAGCAGGAGCAACAACAATAAGAGGAGGGGGCAGGCAGGACGAGGAGGGAGAGGGGGCGGAGGAGGAGGAGGATGAGGAGGAGGAGAAGGAGGAGGAGCTGCCTGCAGGATTCAGATTGGCTGGCGGGATATGATTGAGATAATGTGTGGAAAATAGGTCAAGTTGTTTGCCAATATTAGGATGGAGAAATGGTAAATACTCCATTTACAACAGGATTTTTTTTTGGCTAGGTATGATCCATACAGGGTGGAGTGGGTGCCCAACTAAATGTTATACAGGATGAGGGTCCTACTTCACACAATACCTAGCCACACAACACTTGCCCCTACTACCTGGAAATCCCAATAGCAGAACTTCCACTTGACCCTCAGAATGGACATGGAAGGTTTCGAAGAGAGGTAAGCCCAGAACGCTTCAATCCGTGACTGTCAAGGCAGCCTATTGGATGTTGAGACCCAAAAGTCGATGCTCCAGCACTTGTGCAAGACAGATGGGTAAGACATCTCAACATCCACATACATCAGTTTAGATCAGTACGATGGTTTCAATCCACTAAGGAAAGACCAACCAAATTTGCTTCACTTCGATCGCAGATTATGCATAGATGTCTGCCCAGTGCCACCAATGACTGGTTGATAGATCACTCAACGCTGAAACAGCGGGCACTAGTGTGGCGATGTTGGGACTGCATTTGTTGAAGACCAACGGGCCTCGAGTGGCCTTGGGAATGGAGAGCCCTTTTACTAGGACAATGGAATCCGGTTGACCTGCCTCTCTCAACCTTTCAGTCAAATCTATTTTGTCTTGGTAGGAAAGCTATCATATGGACCATATGGCAAAGGAGGTGTGTATATGTAATGGAGGAGGTAAGTACGGAAGGGATGGAATTTTCTCAGAATATTGAACAATTTGTGGAAACAGAAATCCGGGCTCAATGGGCTAATCTTAAAGTTAAATTGAAGTCTCTAACTCAAAAGAAAGACATCAAGAAATTTATTCTCAAATTCATAATGGACTGGTTAGGGGATCTCAAGAGCAAGGAATTGGACAGGTGGTATGGCCTGATGAGAATGAGTCTGTGATGCCTCTCAAGAAGAGTTACTTGATACAGTTTAATGACTGGTTTGATATTCAGCCAGGGGAGTTTCTCAGAGATGCTACATGCTTTTTTGAACTGTTCCCTCCCTCGGAGTTAGCTTTAGTAGAACCTTAATGGTTTGGTGGGGGGGGTCGGATAATGAAGAATGATTCCTCATCATCAGGAGGGTTAGAATTGCTAGAGGTGGTTGTCCTATATGGCGGTCTGATCAGGACTGAAGAGGTGGTTTTGATCCTTTTGACTCTTATCAAGTCGTAATACTGCGCATTTTTCTGTGTAAGGGACGCTGAACCCGGCTAATGACTTCAGTTGTGTTTTGATTAAAAAAAAATTAAAAAAAAATCAACTCATTCTCGTGTGTCCCGTCAACCCTCCACCCGCCCAATTTTTCCAAACAGAAAACAAAAAACAAATTGATTGATCGATTGATTGATTGAATGATTGACTGATTGACTGTGTGTGTGTGTGTGTGTGTGTGTGTGTGTGTGTGTGTGTGTGTGTGTGTGT